CTTATCTCAGATTTTAAGGTACCAATGATTAGTTAACATTTATTTTGTTCTGGAAATTTAATTTGAAGGAATGTAGAGAGAAAGGTTTAAAAGAAGTCACTTTTTTTATTTTGCATTTAAAATATAATAGAAATAGTTCTGAACCAGTTTGGCTGACATTATAGTTTTTATCTCATTTCAGTATCCAGCAGAAATATTAAAATACCCGTACGATCCATCGTGGCCAATCAGAGGCCTTCATTACGATGTCAGAAAGGTATGTTAATTTCAATCTTAAACTGACTGAGGTCTACTTATAGCAGCTTATGTGATATTGATGAAAGTTCAAGGGGAATTGCAAACGTCAATTAAACTTGAAGTGGTATAAATTGATGCTATAAGTGTCCTGCATTCACATAAAAGATATAGAAAACTTCTTTACCTTCTTCCCTTTAAATTGATTGAAGAAACTATTTAGTGAGTAAGAAACTTTATTGACGTGTTGCTAAATGTTAAATTGATTTCTCTTGTTTTTAGGGATTACTGTTAAAATTAGACGCTTTTCATAATATTCAACTTGATACAGTTTTCAGGTTTGTGAAGAGTTTTTTTATTATTTCTAGTATTTTTCATGTAAAAGGGATAATCATGTAAATATTGGCTTAATCAGCTGAGCTCAGTATCAGCCATCCGTATCACTTTGTAGAATTGAAAACTGATCTTTAGTTTTCTTACAATTCATAAAAATATAAACTGTAGATGGGTATTATGGGCACAGAAAGTATTGTATTCCTCTTATTACACATAAAATGTGTCAATTCCATGTTAGCAGGACAGACGGTAGGTAGGTAGGTAGTTGTTGGTAGATGACAAGTTACAGTTCGCTTCCAGTGGATGTTGATATCACAAACTAGGTAGTTGTTGGTAGATGACAAGTTACAGTTCGCTTCCAGTGGATGCTGATATCACAAACTAGGTAGTTGTTGGTAGATGACAAGTTAACCTTCGCTTCCAGCGGATGCTGATATCATAAACTAGGTAGTCGTTGGTAGATGACAAGTTACAGTTCGCTTCCAGTGGATGCTGATATCACAAACTAGGTAGTTGTTGGTAGATGACAAGTTAAAGTTCGCTTCCAGTGGATGTTGATATCACAAACTAGGTAGTTGTTGGTAGATGACAAGTTAATGTTCGCTTCCAGCGGATGCTGATATCGCAAACTAGGTAGTTGTTGGTAGATGACAAGTTAACGTTAGCTTCCAGTGGATGTTGATATCGCAAACTAGGTAGTCGTTGGTAGATGACAAGTTAACGTTAGCTTCCAGTGGATGTTGATATCGCAAACTAGGTAGTCGTTGGTAGATGACAAGTTAACGTTAGCTTCCAGTGGATGCTGATATCACAAACTAGGTAGTTGTTGGTAGATGACAAGTTAACGTTAGCTTCCAGTGGATGTTGATATCGCAAACTAGGTAGTTGTTGGTAGATGACAAGTTAACGTTAGCTTCCAGCTAACTGATATCACAAACTAGGTAGTTGTTGGTAGATGACAAGTTAACGTTAGCTTCCAGTGGATGCTGATATCACAAACTAGGTAGTTGTTGGTAGATGACAAGTTAACGTTAGCTTCCAGTGGATGCTGATATCACAGACTAGGTAGTTGTTGGTAGATGACAAGTTAACGTTAGCTTCCAGTGGATGCTGATATCACAAACTAGGTAGTTGTTGGTAGATGACAAGTTAACGTTAGCTTCCAGCTAACTGATATCACAAACTAGGTAGTTGTTGGTAGATGACAAATTACAGTTAGCTTCCAGTGGATGCTGATATCACAAACTAGGTAGTTGTTGGTAGATGACAAGTTAACGTTAGCTTCCAGCTAACTGATATCACAAACTAGGTAGTTGTTGGTAGATGACAAGTTAAAGTTCGCTTCCAGTGGATGCTGATATCACAAACTAGGTAGTTGTTGGTAGATGACAAGTTAAAGTTCGCTTCCAGTGGATGCTGATATC